GTACAAAATGGAGGGAACTCATTGTCGTCTAGTTCCGTAATGCCCTAAACGCTAAATATAGAATAAAGAGAAGGAAGGGGGGTAGAGGTATACTGTTTCAGTATGAAGTCAGGTCTCGAAATGTTAACAAAATCATAGAGATATAGGAGATAGATGGGAGGGGAATGTAAAACTGCCTGATGTCTTAATGCACCTCCACAGTGCCATGTCTGTAGAACAAGCCCTCTACTCTTCTTCTCTGGTCATTTAACTCAATTAGAGATGAAAGGCTTTCTAAGGACAAGCAGGCAGGACCTGGAAGCCCCACCCTCCACACTGCAACCATCCAATAGGCTGAAGGAATGTCAATTTAGTGACTACAGTCCTTTCATTTGTTTTCCGTTCCTTCTTAAAAATACTTTTATGGCACCATTATGAAGGTATGTCAGCTATGGAGAAGACAAACACATGTCCTTTATGCCATGGTGAGGATGGCTAGAATGGTTGGAAATGAAGGTGCTCACTGGTCGTCTCTTCACCTCACAGCTGCAACCAATCAACTGCTATCTGGTAGCTATGATGATACCGTTACCTAATAAAGACAAATCTAATCTACATCGATGGAGGCTGCTGAGGGGATGACGGCTCATAGATATGGCTGAAATGGAGTCAATGGAATGGTATCAAACATGTGGTTCCCATGTGGTTGATACCATTCCATTGACTCCATTCAAGCAATTACTATAAGCTGTCCTCCCCTCAGCAGCCTCCACTGATCTACATGGCTTACAAGCTTTACACAATGCAGCTTCATTGACTTCTTTATAGACCATTCTGAAGACACCTGGCCATTGAAACACAAAGTTAATAAAGCGTGTTCTCCATTTCAGTTAAAGCAAAAGGTGAAGAGGTTTGGACATCTGGCGATTAAATAAAATAAACTGAAATTAAGAAAAATGTAATCTATGAAGAAGATTGAGTAGTCTTTCGTTTATAATTAGTGTTTGCAGCTTGAATTCTAGCTAATGAGGTATGTGTGAGTCATCCAGAAGTGGGGTCTGAAGGGGAGCCAGAGGACAGGGGCTGGACGAGACCGCCTGGCCTGACTGCAGCATTAGCCTGCTGACAGAACTACACCGGACTCATATTCATTTACACTCAAACATACACTCCCAAACACACCATCCCTGACTCAATATGGCTATTTACATAATGCACACACCCACACAACAATATGTGGAAACAGACCCATTGGTCTTTCGTGCAAAAGAGATTTGACCACAGCTGGTCTCAGAGATGGCTAACTCTGGATATTCCTTTGGTCTCTACTGAGTTAAGTAAATCAGCTTTTAGTTTTCTTGCACCTTATTTGTGGAACAATCTTCAAAATGTGTTAAATTTGATGTTTTGGTGCCTCTAGGTCAATTCAGAAAGCTGATTGAGGACCTTATTACTGATGAATGTGTTTGTTTTTATGACCGTGCTTTTCTTTCTTTCTTTCTGCTTGCATTTTGTATTTATATTGATATGTGTATTTTCTGTAATTCAAGGCTCATTTGTAAAAGAGACCTTGAGCTCAGTATGACTCCCTGATAAAAATAAAGGTTAAATCAATTTTAAAAATCTCAGAGAGACTTACCTGGATAGCATGGTCTGAGATCAGTTTGTGCCATCATCCCACTCCATGCCACTACTTGTCATGCCAAACAGGTCTGGTACTAGGCTTTAACCTGGATAAATACAGTTTAAATAAAAGGCATACACACACGCCCATTCACACTTCCGAAACAAACACAGGTAGACCACAGTGTACAGGGGGCTACATACATCCTTGCTATTGGACTGTAAGTCTTTAATAATAAAGCACTCTCCATACAAAAGTATATGTACAAGGTCACATACCGTATACCATATTATGGAAATGATCTACTATGGCTCAATCTCATCATAAATACAATACATTTCAACAGTCATCCACCACAGTACTTGATCATAATACCAAAATCTGTTGACCATATCAGCTTCTGTCTTCAGGGAACTCTGTGGTCCTTTCCCAGAGCAATATACAGGGGACACAGTTAGACCCAAATTGTATGTAGAGTTGAAGTCGAAAGTTTACATACACCTTAGCCAAATACATTTAAACTCAGTTTTTCACAATTCCTGACATTTAATCCTAGTAAAAATCCCCTGTTTTAGGTCAGTTAGGATCACCACTTTATTTTAAGAATGTTAAATGTCAGAATAATAGTAGAGAGAATGATTTATTTAAGCTTTTATTTCTTTCATCACATTCCCAGTGGGTCAGAAGTTTACATACACTCAATTAGTATTTGGTAGCATTGCCTTAAAATGGTATAACTTGGGTCAAACATTTCGGGTAGCCTTCCACAAGCTTCCCACAATAAGTTGGGTGAATTTTGGCCCATTCCTCCTGACAGAGCTGGTGTAACTGAGTCAGGTTTGTAGGCCTCCTTGCTCGCACACGCTTTTTCAGTTCTGCCCACACATTTTTTATAGGATTGAGGTCAGGGCTTTGGGATGGCCACTCCAATACCTTGACTTTGTTGTCCTTAAGCCATTTTGCCACAACTTTGGAAGTATGCTTGGGGTCATTGTCCATTTGGAAGACCCATTTGCGACCAAGCTTTAACTTCCTGACTGATGTCTTGAGATGTTGCATTCACATAATTTTCCTTCCTCATGATGCCATCAATTTTGTGAAGTGCACCAGTCCCTCCTGCAGCAAAGCACCCCCACAGCATGATGCTGCCACCCCTGTGCTTCACGTTGGGATTGTGTTCTTCGGCTTGCAAGCTACCCCCTTTTTCCTCCAAACATAACGATGGTCATTATGGCCAAACAGTTCTATTTTTGTTTCATCAGACCAGAGGACATTTCTCCAAAAAGTACGAGGACATTCCTCCAAAAAGTACGATCTTTGTCCCTATGTGCAGTTGTAAACCGTAGTCTGGCTTTTTTATGGCGGTTTTGGAGCAGTGGCTTCTTCCTTGCTGAGCGGCCTTTCAGGTTATGTCGATATAGGACTCGTTATACTGTGGATATAGATACTTTTGTACCTGTTTCCTCCAGCATCTTAACAAGGTCCTTTGCTTTTGTTCTGGGATTGATTTGCACTTTTCGCACCAAAGTACGTTCATCTCTAGGAGAAAGAACACGTCTCCTTCCTGAGCGGTATGACGGCTGCGTGGTCCCATGGTGTTTATACTTGTGTACTATTGTTTGTACAGATGAACGTGGTACCTTCAGGCATTTGGAAATTGCTCCCAAGGATGAACCAGACTTGTGGAGGTCTACCATTTTTTTTTTAGGTCTTGGCTGATTTCTTTTGATTTTCCCACGATGTCAAGCAAAGAGGCACTGAGTTTGAAGGTAGGCCTCGAAATACAACCATAGGTACACCTCCAATTGACTCAAATTATGTCAATTAGCCTATCAGAAGCTTCTAAAGCCATGACATCATTTTCTGGAATTTTCCAAGCTGTTTAAAGGCACAGTCAACTTAGTGTATGTACACTTCTGACCCACTAGAATTGTGATACAGTGAATTATAAGTGAAATAATCTGTCTGTAAATAATTGTTGGAAAAATTACTTGTGTCATGCACAAAGTAGATGTCCTAACCGACTTGCCAAAACTATAGTTTGTTAACAAGAAATTTGTGGAGTGGTTGAAAAACGAGTTTTAATGACTCCAACCTAAGTGTATGTAAACTTCCGACTTCAACTGTAAGTATTTGAAAGATTTGAACCCAGGTCTGATGACAGTTCTAATACTTAACAATATTATAAATGACTGACTGACTGCCTATGAGGGAAAAGAATAAAGCATGATTTCCTTCAAAATAAACACACAGACTCAGTGAGACATTATAAATAACGCACATTGCCAATGGACACCAGTGCAAGAAAATAAAGTAGTTCAACAGGGAAATGTAAGAAGAAGAAGGGGAAAAAAACAAACAAGAGGACTAACATTTAAAAGGTGGATAGTATATGTGTCATTAACATGTAAGGCCTGAGTGAGACATTCCAACAGCATACAGTACACATCATAAATGTTTTTGGTCTATTGAATTATTGGACTTAATATTAATACTTATATTAATGGGGCTTATTAAAATAGTAAAAAAAGAAAAAGCGGGTATGGAGAAGAAAGACAGATAAATTGCACTGTATCCCTGCCTTGTGCTCAAGCCTGGCCTAGTGACCGGTCGGTTTCCTAATAATAGATGACAGAGGTGAAAGGTCATAGGTGGGATAGGTCTTCGCTGTACCTCCTTTCCTCTGTCAGCCATGCTGAAGACCCTAGCTCTGTACAAATTAATCTCTCCTTCCTCCTTCCCTTGAAGTCATTACTGACAGGTACCAGGACTGGACAGGTACAAGTGAAGACTCTATAGCTTTCATCAACCCATTTATGTTTGATTACTGGTTACTTCAAGGAAGGGAGGAAGGATACATTTGTGTGTGTAAAGGTGGTTACCACACAAACACCCTCTTTCTCCCTCCATCTCACAGCAGTGCCATGCATCCTGAAAGAAGAAAGCTGCGGAAGCGTTTCAACCACAAACATTCGCTTTATTTAATTTCAAAGGATTATATAAATCAGAGGAGGCTGGTGAGAGGAGCTATAGGAGGACGGGCTCATTGTAATGACTGGAATGGTACAAATGGAACGGATTGAAACGTGGTTTCCATATGTTGGATGTTTTTGACTCTGTTCCATTAATTCCATTCCAGCCATTACAATGAACCCGTCCTCCTATAGCTCCCATCACCAGCCTCCTCTGATATAAATGTTTTTCAAGAAGTGCAAATTGGTCATATTCCAAATACCATAGCTCCTATGTTTGTTTTCTATTGACGCATGAAGAGAGGGAGAGGGACACACACACCAAAACAAACAGGACCCCCCTCCTCTCCACTCTGACTCACGTGTCCCGTGACTCCAGTCCCGCCCTCACCCCAGCCCTCCCCTCAGGTCCTGTCCTCCTGTTTTCACTTCTCAGAGGAGTTCTTGCGTGGCCGGCGGAAGCTGGACATGTTCTCATTTAGTGCATAGATGCGGCGGGAGAACTCCTCGAAGCCGGCGGCGTCCAGCTCGCCCAGCACCTGCTCATCACACTCCACAGCTACGGCGTGCTCCACGGGGATGCAGGGGTAGTCCTCCAGCCTGGCCCCATCCCCCAGTCCCATCCCCAGTCCCAGGCATGTGGCCTCAGTCCCCATGACCTCCTCTGCCTGCTCCACCGAGCAGCACAACTCTGGGTTCAATGCCATGGTCACTGTTAGCCCTGTTGCGGACCCCGCCAGCCCATCGCCTGGCACCACTGAGCCATTCATGGTATGGTCTGCATGCTGCTGGCTGGTGAGCGCCACCTCCTCCACTTCCTCAACGGTGGTGTCCTGAGCCGGAGTGGGGCAATCTGAGCCTCCTGTGGTAGTGGAAGGCAGTTGCTCCTCCTCCACCAATTCTACCTCTCCGTCTCCATCCCCCTCCCCTGGGGCTGGTGTCTGCTGTGCCTGGTCCTCCAGAGTCTTGGCCAGGTCGATGCTAGCGTCCAGGGAGGAGGACATGTGTTTGTGGGAGGGGGAGGGCGGCGCCAGGCCCCCCTGGGGCTGGTCTATGGCCATGGCCGTGTTGTAGCTGGGAGGAAGAGAGGCTTTGTACTTCTGCTTGTCGGCCTCGGAGCTGGCCCTCTTCCTCAGCGAGCCCCGGTCTGGAGAGCTGGTGTCGGTGGGGAATCCCACCTCTGACGCAGCCGAGACTCTGAACTGAGACTTGGCTCCTGTCGGGACCGGGATGGAGCTGGAGACATGATGCCGGTCACTGTGGGAGAGAAGGAGAGAGAGAGAGAGCAAGAGAGAGGGAGGCAGGGAGAGAAAGAAAGAAAGAATGAATGAAACAGGATATGATGGATATGCTCATAAGTCTTTTACGTTCAAGGGTTATGGAGAGAGGGAGGGATAGAGGGAGGAAGGCTCCCCCCTGCCCAGCCCCCAGGCCTCTCTGATCGAACATGGTTCTGTATCTCATCTCTCCCCCCTCCTGAACCAGATCCCAGACAGCTGGCCCACTGCAAATCACTCCCCATTATTACATTCAAAAACATTTTCTCAGCTCACGCAACGACAGGGCCATGCAGAGTGGAAGCTCACAGCATGCCTCCTAGAAAGTATGCAAGACATTTTTGCAGAAATAACAGATAACAGACAGGACAGAGCAACCCTCATTTGTCCCATGCAAATCCTAACCGTAAATTAACTTAAACAAGGGGTCCATAGCTGTTTAGCCATACTTAACCTGGTCATTCAGGTATGAGAGGAGACATTGGAGGGATATCTCATGGGGTCAAAGGTGAAATTGAGCCCCTGTGCTGTCAGAGGTCCACCTGTGGCTGGTTAGAGAGCAGAGGAGCCTGGGTAAGTGATCCTGGCTAGTTAAAATGGGTTAAAGGGGTGGTGAGGTCACTGGGTGGTGATGTCCCTGTATCAGACGCCAGATAGTCTAGTCTAGCGTGTGGCAGCAGGACGCACACACAGAGAGGACCTAGAGGCCTATGCCAGGGGATGTTTCAAACACACAGCGACTGACTGGTCTTTGCCTAACTGTTTGATGGGAGTACTTCAGGACTCAACACATGGTAGCTTGTTAAGAGGGTCCTGACCGCGGCCCCTGCCCCCCGTGGAGACAGCAGAGCACAGGGCACTGACATAAGAGTTCACACACAGGGTTTAAAAACACACACGTGTGCGCATACTAGTGCTGAGCGATTAGTGCTTTTTGAGGCCAGTTCGGTTTCAGTTCGATGATAAAAAAATATATCACGGTTTCCGATTTCAGCTTTGATTATTTTTTAAAACATTAAATGCACTATGCATTATGTGGGTTGAATGCTGTAACAACACAGAATACAACTATTAATACAAGTCCCATGATGGTAGTGGCTGCCCATTACTAATTACTGCTTACTTTACTTTAATAAAATATTTCAGTTTTATTTGATGACTTTATTATTTCATTCCAGGTAATCATCTCATCTCTACAGAGCTGCTGCCTATGCTGTCTGACAAAATACCTATTTTAGTAGTTCTTCAAAGTAAAGGGAGACTTTCAAGAATGCTGAATACCAACTATCAATCACTTACAGTTGAAGTCGGAAGTTTACATACACCTTAGTCAAATACATTTAAACTCAGTTTTTCACAATTCCTGACATTTAATCCTAGTAAAAGTTCCCTGTCTTAGGTCAGTTAGGATCACCACATTATTTTAAGAATGTGAAATGTCAGAATAATAGTAGAGAGAATGATTTATTTAAGCTTTTATTTATTTCATCACATTCCCAGTGGGTCAGAAGTTTACATACACTCGATTAGTATTTGGTAGCATTGCCTTTAAATTGTTTAACTTGGGTCAAACGTTAGGGGTAGCCTTCCACAAGCTTCCCACAATAAGTTGGGTGAATTTTGGCCCATTCCTCCTGACAGAGCTGGTGTAACTGAGACAGGTTTGTAGACCTCCTTGCTCGCACATGCTTTTTCAGTTCTGCCCACACATATTCTATAGGATTGAGGTCAGGGCTTTGGGATGGCCACTCCAATGCCTTGACTTTGTTGTCCTTAAGCCATTTTGCCACAACTTTGGAGGTATGCTTGGGGTCATTGTCCATTTGGAAGACCCATTTGCGACCAAGCTTTAACTTCCTGACTGATGTCTTTAGATTTTGTGAAGTGCACCATGATGCTGCCACCCACGTGCTTCCGACTTCAACTGTAGATAATGTATTTTCAGGTAGATACCTCGCGAAGCAACTTCTCTCTATCCCTCTCGATCGCACGTTCTTCTGTCTATTCTCTCCCGCTCAGTGTCTGCCCCACACAGAACGGACAAGTAGACGCGCAATGGATTATGGTAGTTAATTACCACGTTTTCTGCGCTAAACTATATACAATATTGGCCTGTTGGAAACTACAACTCCCTACTACATCGCAATGTTCAGGCTTGATCTGATTTATCTCTAGAAAAACTGCGCACTGAGCTCACAGGAAAAAAAAACTGAACGAAATGGAATTCAAATAATTGAACCAACATCGGTCAAATAGTTGTTTAAAAAACAGAAAATAACACATTTTGGTAAATTGCTCAGCACTAGCGCATGCACACACACACACACACACACACACACACACACACACAGACACACACAAACACACAGCTCACTGCTGATGAGTGAGTCACAGACAAGACAGGACAGCAGAGTGTCCTCAACCTGCAGTGGTGTAAAGTACTTAAGTAAAAATACTTTAAAGTACTACTTAAGTAGTTTTTTGGGGTATCTGTACTTTACAATTTATATTTTTGACAACTTTTACAAGTACTTTTACTTTTACTCCACTACATAGGGCTCCCGAGTGGCGCAGTGGTCTAAGGCACTGCATCTCAGCGCTTGAGGCGTCACTACAGACCTGGTTCGATTCCAGGCTGTATCACAACCGGCCGTGATTGGGAGTCCCATAGGGCGGCGCACAATTGGCCCAGTGTTGTCCGGGTTTGGCCGGTGTAGGCCGTCATTGTAAATAAGAATGTGTTCTTAACTGACTTGCCTAGTTAAATAAAGGTAAAATAAAAAAATAAAAAATAAAATTCCTAAAGAAAATGATGTACTTTCTCCTCCATACATTTTCCCTGACACCCAAAAGTACTCGTTACATTTGAATGCTTAGCAGGACAGGAAATTGGTCTAATTCCCGCCCTTAAAGAAAAAATCCCTGGTCATACCTACTGCATCTGATCTGGCGGACTCACTAAACACAAATGCTTTGTTTGTAAATTATGTCTGAGTATTGGAGTGTGGCCCTGGCTATCCATAAATTTAAAAAACAAGAAAATCATGCCGTCTGGTTTGCTTAATATAAGGAACTTGAAATTATTTATACTTTTACTTCTACTAGTTAAGTATATTTTAGCAATTACATTTACTTTTGATACTTAAGTATATTTAAAACCAAATACTTTTTTACTTTTACTCAAGTAGGATTTTACTGGGTGACTTTCACTTGAGTCATTTTCTATTAAGGTATCTTTACTTTTACTCAAGTATGACAATTGGGTACTTTTTCCAACTCTGTCAACCTGTCCTATAAAAGAGGACCCATAGAGGAAACCCACACACAGTGGATGGCCCATGTCATACCTGTTCATAATTATAGCTCACGGCAAACATTTAATAAGAAGCTTACAGGAACACACAAGATGAGGTCAAACGTTCATGCAAGGTAAAGCAAATAAAGATAATGAGTTGAGATAATCTGGCATGAGTGCTCTTCTTTCTGAGCAATAACTGGGGATACACTGTGCTGCACTTATTCACAGTGCGTGTCTATCTGAAAACATCATCTAACGCAATTGCCTTCACATTGGCCCTTAGCGACTATACAGTATATCCCATAAACCAAGGATAAATAGAAACAACATGCTGTTCAAAACGGTTGATCAGTTTTCTCGAAAAAGCCAAAAGTTTAATGGTTTTCCATTAATGATTTGTATCTGTGAACTTAAACAAAATCATTATGGTGTTTTGAGCACGCTCCAAAACTAAAAAACTAAACCTGATTTGGAAGACGGGAATAAAAAGAGACCTTCCATGAGAACAGAATTATCATTCCAGCGAGCAAACCCAAACCGTGGTCCAGGCTGGGCCCCTATCAAACAGAGGACAGGTTGGAAAAAACAGAGCTGACTGTTTGTTAAGCAGGAGTTTCAAACATTCCATGCATCATTTATAACACGCTAATGACTGCCTTCAGTCTGTTGTTTGCTGAATGACGTCCTCGTGGCAAGAGCTCGGAGACTGATCCAATCTCTGATTTGAATTAATATCAAGCCTTCTAGTTTCTCCCTGACTCTCTCCCAGTACCCCTACCACACAGTAATCCATCTCAGCTTCAGGAGAACCCAGGTTAGGATTCAGGAGAGAGCTGGCCAACATTGACGCCTGCATGTGTTTTGGCCCAGAAACACAGTGATATGATATACAATCAGACGGTGTAAAACATATAACCACTTCTTCTTCTCTGGGAGTGTTTAGATGTCACAATAATAAGGTCTGGATAATAAGGCATTTCTTGTTTGGAGATCGTTTATTTGTTACATTAAGCACCCCTCCAAATTGGTTCTTTTAAACAGCTGTCAAGTTAAGTCCCTTAATCAAGAGTGTAGTAAAGAGTCTGAGGAGAAGCGGCAGGAGGAGAGGGGGAGGAGGCTAGCCCCCACAAATCTCCTTGAATGGGCTGTCATAATATTTTTTCATGCAGCACATTTTCTCAGTATGACTCTTGACACATTGCTTTTTATTCAGACCAATTAGGCTGTCCCCCTCCTTGCACCACTCCCCATACAGTAATTATTGCTCTGCTCAGAGGAAGGGAGAGCAGTAGTACATTTCCTGAATACTGTTGAAAAACCTGGAACCCATAGAGCGGGAGGATGGTGAGGGATGGAGGGAATATTGGCGGACTTACAAGAGAAGAACTCTCCATTGGAGGGAAGCAATGTATGGTCTAGTTTTCACACAATAGCCCATTGTGCCTGTAAACGATATATACTTGGACCAAGTATAAATGGCAACCAATCCAGGCTAGTAGTGTTGTATAGTATGGTAGGTTGCAGTGTTGGTGTGGGTAGTATAGCCAGGCATACTGTACTGTAGGCATCTCTTTCAGGGTGGACATTAGACGACCTGTGATTTACAGCCAAAGGGACACAGTACTTCACTCTGGACGTTCTAACTCATCATTAAGTTTTACTAGTCCTCTAAGCCCGGCGGACTTCCTTGTCAATGATTTCACCACATAAAAGCTACCTGAGCCCTCTGCCTAAACCATTAGGCCCAGACTGGGCAGGGCCAGCGGCGCATAGGCCCACCTCTTCTCCCAACTTGTTTGTTTTAAATGGAGTCTCTCTTCCTCTGCCTGTGTCAGACTCAGCCCTGGATATTCCAGGCAGGCCAGGAATTTACTAAACCAAATATTTTCCGCTGTCTTATCCTCAGACAGGCCTTGTTTCAGGTTCAAGGCATAGCTCTCTTCATATCCAATTCCTGCTAAGGAGCCGTGATCAGGGCCAAAACACACAATGACAGATAAGATTCAGGCTTTGATGTCATGGCAACCGAAAATCCCACAGGAACTACTAAACCAAATGCTATAACTGAAATATTGTAATACACACTACGGGGGGTGGAGGGGAGTTTAAATGAAAATATTGTAATAGTGCAAGTCTCCTCTGTCCAAGTCTGGCCTTTTGAAGATGGAGAATGTAACCATCGTATGAAAATCACCACAGCACAGCATGTAAAACATATTGAACAAGTCGATAGTATGAACACTAACACTGTTGCCAATTGTGACTGCACACTGTTGTATTTGACTTGATTCTCAGCAGTTTTGTATGGCACACAGATAAATAGCCTAGCTATACCAACCCATTGCAAATATAGGTGAGAACTACAGTACCCCACACTGTCTCACAGTAAGACAGATTCAGTTCATTTGCGACATGTCGTGTTAGAATGACATAACTGTGGGGATCAATGCAGTACCTCAACGAATGGCAATTACTAATTAGATCAGCTGGCCCTGTTAGTCCCCTACTCTGTGTCTCAGTGACACATAGAGGAGAGCAGGTCTGCTGTGTGCTGGGCTGTGCTGGGCTGTCTCATAGAGAGACCTGGTGGTAGGGAGTGTTCCTCCAGATGTCAGCTCATCCCTCATCCATAGAGATCACTGTACAGCTAACACACACAGACAGACATACAGACAAACGCAGGCACACACATTACATTTACATTTTAGTCATTTAGCAGACGCTCTTATCCAGAGTGACTTACAGTTAGTGAGTGCATACATTATTTATTTATTTTTTCATACTGGCCCCCCGTGGGAATCGAAGCCACAACCCTGGCGTTGCAAACGCCATGTTCTACCAACTGAGCTACATCCCTGCCGGCCATTCCCTCCCCTACCCTGGACGACGCTGGGCCAATTGTGCGCCGCCCCCCATGGGTCTCCCGGTCGCGGCCGGCTACGACAGAGCCTGGATTCGAACCAGGATCTCTAGTGGCACAGCTAGCACTGCGATGCAGTGCCTTAGACCACTGCGCCACTCGTGTGTGTATGTGTGTGTGTGTGTGTGTGTGTGTGTGTTTGTGTGTGTGTCTGTGTAGGAATGCTCGAACTCATCCAAACAAATTAGCTTTATTTGATTCATTATACTGTATGAGTTCCCCCACAACATCAGGCATCTCCCCTTACCATCTCAACAACTACCATCCCTATGGCTTTACTGGAACAATCATCTCCACATAATGAAACACCTACTGTGCTGGATGTGTGCCATCAGCTTTACTGCAATGCATGTTCAGTTACTGATTCAGACCAGGACCAGTATTCCTGACTGTGTTATTGGCCATTTAGGCTGAACTTGCTTGGTTGTCACAGGTGGAAATTTGGGGAAGTGAAGATACAGACACACAGTACGCAGGCACACACACACACACACACACACACGAGCCAGGCTAAACATTTCCTCCTGTGTGTTCTTGGACTGTGTGTGTGTTTGAAGGCAGCAGGGAGGGGTTCAGATTTAATGCCGTTATCGCTGTTCTCTCACCAGGGGTTTTGGGGGGAATCTTCGGAACCTCCGGGCGGCTGGGGGAGCAGCCGGGGCCGGGGCTGTGTTCAATCATCCAGCCCCCTCACCCCAGACTCGGTGCACCGGGCTTAGGACCTGTGAACCTCTGCCAGGGCCTCTGCAGATGTCGAACCACGAATAGGAGCTTAACGTGTTTGTTTTGAACTCGGCAAGCTATTCCGTTTACAAAGCAAGAAGAACTGCCTTTGGTAAGTTCCTCCTTGTCTAATGTTTTTTTTTGTCTAGCATTCACCCTAAAGTAACTGGCTCCCTAAGCCTTATCCACTTGCATGGTTCGGGGGCTAGGTTTACAAGTCCTTCCACTGTGCCACTGAGATGTACATACGTCTTTACTCTGTTTGCAACTGTTTTAGTAGGAAGGGATCAGTGTAGGAACATTAAAGAAAACACAGTCTCTTTCTATACAGTACAAACCCTTAACAATCATATACACTGAGTGTACAAAACATTTTCCCTCAGAACAGCCTCAATTCGTCAGGGGATGGACTCTACAAGGTGTCGAAAGCGTTCCGCAGGGATGCTGGCCCATGTTGATTCCAATGCTTCCCACAGTTGTGTCAGGTTGGCTGGATGTCCTTTGGTTGGTGGACCATTCTTGATACACACGGGAAACTATTGAGCGTGAAAAACCCAGCAGTGTTGCAGTTCTTGACACACTCAAACCGGTGCTCCTGGCACCTACTACCATACCGCGTTCAAAGGCACTTAAATCTTTTGTCTTGCCCATTCACCCTCTGAATGACACACATACACAATCCATGTCTCAGTTGTCTCAAGGTTTAAAAATCCATCTTTAACCTGCCTCCTCCATTTATCTACACTGATTGAAGTGGATTTAACAAGATAAATCAATAAGGGATCATAGCTTTCACCTGGATTTACCTGGTCAGTCTATGTCATGGAAAGAGCAGGTGTTCCTAATTTTTTTGTGCACTCAGTGTACAGTACTTCCCAATGAGGTCCCCTGGATAAAGCCCATGTTCCCATGCAGGAGAAGAGCCCTTCTAGTCAGCTTATTGTGCATGCAGAAAGCTCTATATGGAGGCGGAAACGTCTACACAGTTCATGGATGGAAATGGTTCTCTTGGACATGCCCTCGCCCCACCACCACCCCTGTATAGGAGTAGAGGAGAGGGGAGGGGAACAGATATCAAACCCCTTTCCCTCTCACAGTCTACCGGTTAACTCCCTTCAGCTGCCGCACAGCATTTTTATGCATCCATATTTCATACGCTTGGCCTCTCCGCTGGAAATAGAATCTGAATTGAGGCTTTTTCAGGCAGGGGGGAACTGGAAGTGATACGGTGGGGAGGAAGGGCAATAAAATAAGTCCCATACAAAAGGAGAGCAGGAATGAATGCATGTCCTCCCTGTTTCAGTGTTTCACTACTGCAGTGTGGAGCCCCAGAGTCAGACCACCTTCCTGTCCCCCAGTACCTGCTGTCTGAATCAGTTAGAGGGGAGAACTATGTGGGTCCTGTGACGAGGACCTAACTTATTGCCTGTTCAGGCTTACTGCACCTTCTCACACACATAATTCTCCCCTCTGTAAGTCTGCCAGCCGCCGCCCCCTGACGAGTATTTCAGCCCTGTGTGTGTGTGTGTGTGGTGTGTGTGTGTGTGTGTGTGTGAGAGTACGAGACTCACATCCTTTTGAAAATATAGACTGCTATTATTTTCTATGGGTATCATGCTGAAGATTGTCCCAATTTAATACCCTACGCCCAGTCGTAGCTCATTGAAGGGTTTACACCCAGGTGGTGCAATAGGTATAATTTTTTGGTCCGGCATAGAGCGCATTTTACGTCGGGCGTAGAGTTACGACCCACTAACGACCAACTGGTGCAACCGGACCCTGAAGTGAAAAATGTAGAGTAGAGATAGTGGGCGCAACAGTGCTAGGTGGGGTAGCTTAATAGTACTAAGACACTGGGAGAGTGAGAGTGGACTAGTACAGGTACTCACCATCGGACCAGAAGGCCGTGCTCCAGGAAGTTCTTGAGGTTGGGCAGGGTCTGGCGGAGGTCTGGAGTGGACAGGCCATGCTGGTATCTCAGCTGGGAAAGAAAAACAAAGCATACATTAGCAACGACCAGAGCTTTCTGTACCATAACCTATTATATCAGTTTTATTCACACATTCTCATGATTCTCTAGTTCTTGACGTCTCTGGACAAGGCAGATAATTACTACCCTACAGGGAGACCGAAGCAACCTGTCATTCTTTATATCTGAAGCATTATAACTTCTCCCTTTGAGCTATTATTCACCCCAACATACAATGGGCACCCGGCCCTCCTGCCATGCTAACAGATGTCTGTGCTAATGTGGAAAGGTGTGTGGAGAGGGAGATGAGACGTGGGCGGCGATTAGAAAAGGCAGAATACCAGAAATCTGGAATAAAGATGGGGTAAAACCGCACAGAGCAATCACTCCCTCTCTCCATTTCCCTCTATCGCTCTCTCTCCGTCTCCCTCTCTCTCCAAGTGACCTAGATCCCCATTGGATTGATGACAATCCCTCTCACCAGTCCTCCATCCATCAGTCATAAAATCAACCTCAACTTATGACCGACATGGAAGTGAGCTAAAGTGAGCCAAAGTGAGCCCCCACCCCACAAGGGGTTGAAAGCGTTCCGCAGGGATGCTGGCCGATGTTGACTCCAATGCTTCCCACAGTTGTGTCAAGTTGGCTGGATGTCATTTAGGTGGTGGACCATTCTTGATACACACAGGAAACTGTTGAGTGTGAAAAACCCAGCAGCGTTGCAGTTCTTGACATAAACCAGTGCGCCTGGCACCTACTACCATACCCCATTCAAAGGCACTTAAATATTTTGTCTTGCCCATTCACCCTCTGAATGGCACACATACACAATCCATGTCTCAATTGTATCAAATCTTTCCACCGGTCTAAGAGTGTGCAACGCTGTCATCAAGGCAAAGGGTGGCTATTTGAAGAATCTTAAATATAAAATATATTTTCATTTGTTCAACACTTTTTTGGTTACTACATGATTCCATATGTGTTATTTCATAGTTTTGATGTCTTCACTATTATTCTCAATGTAGAAACCCTTGAATGAGTAGGTGTTTCCAAACTTTTGACTGGTACTGTATATATATATATATACACATATAAATATGACAAAAGACGGCATCCCACCAACACAGTTGAGCAGCATCACGTGCCGCAGCATCACCACATCCGCCTTATACCTCACTAGGGCCTGTGTCACTGACACCCACATCTATTTTCTCTCCTCCACTCTGTTATACTGTGACACCCATTCTTCTCTACACTCAAACCGCCATCCCTGGTTCCATCCCTCTCTCCCTCCCTGGGCATCACTCGCTCAGTGCCGTACATCCGCTACAGTGAGTGATGAACCACATATGATTCTAATTAGGCCAGACACAGTACCAGTGTTTTGCTCCCACCAGCGCTACACTCACCCATTACATACCACTGCCTACCGACCATACCCCATAGACTATATATATGAAGACGTTGGGGAGAAGTACCACGATAACAGAGGAATTACAGAGAAGTAAATGTTGGCGCCCCAGGGGCCAAAGGCCACGTTTCTCAGTTTGTGTTTATAGTTAGAGGATAATAATGGTTTTCTTGGATCAGCAGTCATCTCAACACCATTCATCCAAGTAAATTTTTTTGTGGCCTATGCTGAAATATTCTGTCAGGACTGTAAGGCTGTGCGGTGGTTCTAGTAAGGTTTGACTAATGTCATGAGGAGTGGCATAAGCATTAACACATGGGTCCTTGCTGCCACTGCCAGAGCACACAGTACAGCAGGGTGTGTGTGTGTGTGTGTGTGTGTGTGTGTGTAAGGGTGGATGGTAGGCCCCCTTCTGGCACTGGATGGTTCGAGCTGTCTGGCTGGTGTTGGTGATCAAGGAGAGGCAGGAAGCAGAAGATCCAGTGCATGGTTTTTATTTAAGGCATTTGGAGCAGGTGCAGGTATTTACAAAAATATACAAAAGCCAACAAGATTGCTGGACCAGACTCAAATTAAATAATAAATTAAGAAAAAAACGAGTCAAAAGAAGATAAAGACTGACGATCAATCTTGACTAGTCCCTAGGACTCACAGAAGCCCCAACTAACCCCTGCAGAGACTGGTGGCCATTTTGAATTCAAAATAAAGCTCTACACCTGAGCATTTATATTTATACCCTCCAGCCACTAGCAGCGACCAGGTGACAGGAAACACTTGTGTTATTAGAAAGCACTTTGTCAAACTAAGCCAATAAACACTTCGCAAAGACTAACACCCAATAACACTTTAGATACGTCAGAGAATATTATAACCTGTACGATACAGATAAATATATAGAATATGTTGAAGATCTAGGACAGAGCAGAAACTCTTTCAACCCCCATTAATTAGTACTGGAGTCTTCCTTCTTAATGAGCAGACCATGGTCACCTGCGTGTTTAGCGACCACGCCCCCTCCACATGTTTGCAAGACAGATCTCACACACACAAACATTTGTAAGTACTGCTTTAGACTAGCAAATAGTAGGCCTACTGCTTTCGACTAGCAAAATAATGAATCAACTTCATCTGATGTCTTCTCTAATTTATTTTCAATGTTTAGAAAATATTTAGAATTCATTAATCACAGGTAACACACTCAACCAAAATGGATGTTTGGTGAGGTGACCAAGCAATTATATCAAAATGTACTGAGCCATCGGACCAGTGAGGAAGCACAGAGTTAGTTTCATCACAGTGTGTGTGTGTTAGATCCTTCTTCAGCACAGGAAAACCTCCCAATTGATCTTATTCAGTATTAACAGTACGTGTGTGTGTGTGTGTGTGTGTGTGTGTGTGTGTGTGTGTGTGTGTGTGTGCATGCACATTTTGTGAACAAATGCATGTGTGTGTGTGTGTGTGTCAGCACGTATACATATGCACGTATGCTCATGCACATGTGCATCTTTTGCTCTCTAACCTCCGGGGGACCCATGGAACCAGAGTTCTCTATGGTATCTGCACAGACCTCCTGATCTCTGTGGTAGATTTGGTGTTTTATCAAAAGCACCTCAGATTGAGCCAAGCTGGGAGAGGGACAGTACCTAGATCCAAACCCATATTGGTGATGAAAAGCCCTAATACATACAGGGCCTTCGGAAAGTATTCAGACCCCTTGACTTTTTCCACACTTTGTTACGTTACAGCTTTATTCTAAAATGGATTAAATAAAAAAATGTCAAAGTACTGAGTAAAGGGTCTGAATACTTATGTAAATAAGGTATTTCAGTTTTTAATTTTTAATACATTTCCTTAAATTTCTAAAAACCTGTTTTCGCTTTGTCATTATGGGGTAGTGTGTAGATTGATGAGGGAAAAAAAACGATTTAATCAATTTTAGAATAAGGCTGTAACGTAACAAAATGTGGAAAAAGTCAAGGGGTCTGAATACTTTCCAAATGCACTGTACGTATTCTGGATAATCCTGAATGATTGGTGAATAATGATAAGTGAGAAAGTTAGAGGCATAAATATCATACCCCCCAAAAATGCTAACCTCCCCTGTTATTGTAATAGTGAGAGGTTAGCATGTCTTGGGGGTATGATCTTTGCGGGTCTAACCTTCTCACTCATTATTCACGATTCATTCAGGACTATCCGTAATCATGATAGCATCCACATTCATGTAGAAACATTCTATTGTTATTTACGAAAAAAATGACTCTACATTATTTACCATTCATTTCTATTGGGCACAAAATACACAACCAAAACAAACAGCAAAAAGTGCAGTAATTTCTAAACGGTTCACCCAATATGGAAGAAAATACCCTAAAATTGAAGCTGACAGTCTGCACTTTAACCTCAGTCATTGTATCATTTCAAATTCAAAGTGCTCGAGTACAGAGCCAAAACAACAACAACAAATGGCACTGTCCCAATATTTTTGGAGCTTACTGTAAATGTATGTGTATGTGACGGCTATTTCCCCCCAAGCTATGTGTTGAAACCTTGCCAAGCGTGGAGCACAGAAATGGGATAGGGGTGAAGACAGAGTGAGGCGTGACATCACTGGATTGTTCTGAGTACACTACTGTTGGGGGAATTGTTAGGGGGATGAAGAGGAGAGGATGTTCCTGAGTAGCACGCATGTGAATGCTGAGAGGACTCTCCTGGAACCTGGACAAAGGCATGTGTCTTACTGCTGCAGCCTCCAAAAAGATACAAGATAGGGAGAGTCCATTCCAGCAGCACTTCTCTCTACACCCTGACAAGAGTTCCGTCATGCTCACACAGGTCTGTGCCAACTCTCTACCAATGGGCACTACACAACACTTGACCAACAAGTGCTTTGTTGGACCAACAAGTGTCTGCTTGGCGCCAGACCTAATATTTTGTATTTATTATGGATCCCTCCCCCCATTAGTTGCTGTCAAGGCTAGCCTCCATGTCATGGTGTCTACAGTACCTAAACCATTGACATGTTAGCTGTGCCACCTCCTCACGACCAGCATGGTCTAGCTGATTTTGCTAGTGACCAGCCTTCACTGTGTTTTGGACACTCACGACCAACCTTTGTTGTGTTTTAGACATATACCAACTTATGCTGGTGACCAAGCTGGTCCATGCCTTTTGGGGGCCCTATGTTAAATTTTGTTAATTTCCTGCAATTCTACACATTTTGCCATGTGGCGTAAAGAAAATGTGGCAGTTTTTAAGCAAGTTTGCTGCAATTCTACACTTTTTGCAATGGGGCAGAGAGAAGATTTTGCAATTTTATAACAAATTCCATGCAATTCTACTCATTTTGCAACGGGGAGGGGAGAAATGTGCAATTCTACACATTTTCCATACGGTGGAGACAATTTTGTATTTTTTTTATATGATATCTGAGTGAGAATGACTTTGCTGTGTTTTGGACACATACCAGCTTATGCTGGTGATACTGGTATACTCGTGACCAAGCTGGTCCATGATGGTCTGACCACGCCCATCATTATCATATTTCCCAGCATGCTAATTTTTATAATTGTTTGTTTCAATATCTTTGTTGTGTTTTTGCATGTACATTGATTGATTAATTAATCTTATGCTACACAAAGATAAATAACATAAT